GGATACTCCTAATTTAGGTGAAGGGATACTCCTGAATCAGGTTAAGGGATACTCCTAAATCAGGTGAATGGATATTCCTAAATCAGGTGAAGGGATACTCCTAAATCAGGTGAATGGATACTCCTAATTTAGGTGGAGTGATACTCCTGAATCAGGTTAAGGGATACTCTTAAATTAGGTGAAGGGATACTCCTAAATCAGGTGAAGGGATACTCCTAAATCAGGTGAAGGGATACTCCTAAATCAGGTGGATGGATACTCCTAAAGCAGGTGAATGAATACTCTTAAATCAGGTGAAGGTATACTCTTAAATCAGGTGAATGGATACTCCTAAATCAGGTAAGGGATACTCCTAAATCAGGTAAGGCAGAGTAGTTAAAGATAAAACCCGTAGAATAAGTAAAAATATTTTGGCACAAATTTTCTGAAGTTTGCAGTTGATAAAGACCGTTGTTTGTCAAAATAGATCATATTATTTCGGGCGTATTTCTTCCGCATTTCAGGCCACTTGTCACTCCCTTGAATGTTATTCTTTCCTCTTCCTGTATTGCTAAATAGGATACATTAATCTAATAGTGGTATCTTATAACAAAGATATCTGACATGGGAAAACAGTTCGTTAATGCACAAAAATCAATTCAGATCAAAAGCCTTCAAGTTAGCGAATTTGTAAGCGGGTTGTACTATCTGAAGAATTTGTTGGCCACTTTGGCAACGATATAAGGACTATATATCTCAAGACAGATTAATAAGAAAGATACAAATAAATTATTTAGTGGCTCAACAACATCAGCCTCATATTTTCCCATGAAAATTATATCAATATTATGTCTGATAAAGTAATTTATAGCGGAAGTTGGGTCTAAAAAGGAAGTTACAATCTCGCACCTTTGATTAGTTTTATCTGATCACCGGAAATACGTCAGACCGTAAGGTCAAAATAACACCACCACTAGTACCCCCCACCCTAAAGACCGTTGTCATAAATGCACCTCTCCCTGTGGAATGACAAAATACTCTACCCACCCTTCCATGGGAAAGGTAGGATTTGTCCCTTCCCCTGTGAAAAAAAGACCAGTTCCTCTAGGGAGAGTACTGTCGGTGGGAATTTTGGCCATGGTATTTTGACTGTATCCTCAAATCAATAAACAGATGGCCTCAAGGCCGCAATGTGGGTAAATACAATAAAAATCAGTAAATTTACTAAACTTTCATAGCAATAAATTGTCTTGTATGATATTAACGAGAAATTATATATCTTAAAAATTTAAACCAGCTTCAGTTGTCTGCCCGAAAATGCGTCAAGTTTTTGGAAAAAGTGAGGCTACCTGCCTTCGCAAGATACGGTGATTTCGAATGCATCTTCCAAAATATCAAAACTCGCTACACAAATGCATCGTAGATATAAAATTCCGTTGTTCATGTACGAGCGGATACGTAGAAAAGTGTGAAAAAATCATATCCTCTTATTCGCCTTTACTTACCCGACACGCCAATAGTTGGTAGAGCTTCAATAACAAAGAAGAAAAGCGAAAAGACGAAAAAATTGATGAATTTCATGGTTAAATTTCTGTTGTCCAAGTGGAACTTCAAGAAATGTTTTCTCAGCGAGTATATGGACTGTTCGACTAAGGTTACAGGATATTTCTAATCATTTGACATTTTAATGATTGATAAATAGATTTGGGATTTTTTGCATTGACTTTTGGAACCCCGTCGACATGACCTCATCTTGGACTGCATGAGTCGTTGTTTACCGAGAATTTGACCAAATCAACAATCGGAAAACGACGCTAAGAGAAAGCAATTAGAAAAAAAAGAAGATATTTTTGAACGTTTGGCTCTAATGCTTTAAGTTAAGCCAAAACGAAGAACCCAACGAAAATTTTCCTTATTGGAAATTTGCAGGCTTAAAACTCAATTGGATAATGTCCAAAAGTATTTGTCACCTTTCTGGTCCTTTCGTTACGTGTTGAGACATGAATTCATTTAGTTGCGCAGTTGAAATATCGGCATGAAAGAGAAAGAATTGTAATCAGTATAAGGTATCAGTACCAAAAATTGATTTAATGGTTTTGCAGAAGAATATAAACAGGAAGACGATATCAAAATGCAACGTAAAACTTTCATCAGCTTTCTGTAATCCCACAAGAGAAGACACAGACATCCTGCCTATCTGAAACGATATACGATATACCCAAACTCGTTGCCTATTAAGTTCCGTGGTACAGGTCACGATCGATCTGTGCCAAGATATACAGTTCATGCTTTATACTTATTGACCTTATTCTGATGGAAATTCCATACGTAATTGGCCAATGGATGTAATTCTTGGAGAAGATTAGTTGAAAGTTTACTAATGATATGGCAAGAAAAATATAATACAGAGATATAGACTTGGTGATTCTGGAAGCAGGCTCTTCTCACAAGAGGACACCCCTGAAACTATACAAGTTTATAGTGGAATTATTAACAGAATATAAGCATACATGCTGCCTTTAAGGGTAAGTTGGCACCAGTTTTGCAATTGAATGATCGATGTTTTATTTTGGACTTAAGATGTAACCGATAATTATCCAAAACATCTTCATGCAGTGCAAGCAAGCAGTTTTGCTTTAGTACGTAGCTTGATTATTACTATCCTGGAGGTTTTGCAAATGAGTATTTATTTCACTTAATGGTATAAATGCTACGTATATGATGCGATAATGCATTCAGTACGTTTTGTGCGTTGCATCTTGAAATGCCATTACGATTCTTTATTCAGTGATTATAATTTGATTTCCAAATTTTTTACCAGATTTTGTTTAATTTTACTAAGTGTTCAATGCACAAGATAAAAGTAAAAGTAAAGTAGAAGAAATGATTAATTAATCATTAATATCATTAATTGATATTACTAATATCACTTTTATCAATTGGCAGAACCAATCGGCTTTAAGTGTAACGACTAAGTGTATATTGGTAAAAGTAACGTAGAAGAAGATGCTTGCGAATGTCGTGTTTTTTTTTAAACTTTTTTTTGGACAGGAGTTGGCTGTTACTTTGTTTGTATGGATTCTCTTCGTCAATGTAGTTACTTCTGCACCAGGTAACCGATGTTGCATATAGAACTATTCTTATATCTATTATTTCGTCATACTAATACGAGCTAACTTACCGGATATGGACAGAGACAAATGTCCGTATTATAGAGGATACATTTGCAAGAAAGCATTTAATCAACTGATGTAACATGATGTAATGTTCTGTTTAGGTGGTAACCACACATGTGAAGAGGTCCTACGTAACCTCAAGAAAAATCCCCCTCCCCACACCATTATCCGCCTTCAAGAGCCGTTGAGGAAAACCTGGAGCGTCAAGTATAAATGTGTTAAAGAGGCCAAGATGGTACATGGTAGTGATACAGCTGTGAGAAGGTGTGAAAATGGGACGATGATTGGGGATGAACCGCAGTGCAAGTGTGAGTAGAGGAAATACTTATGATGCCGTGCTGTGGCCATTTATCGTAGGATATGCATTCAAGCTGTATTCACTTTTTCGCCAGCCAATCGCCTCATGCAACTAATATGCATATGTTCTTTCATCCATTTACTACATCCAACCCCTTTCCCATACTATCCATCCTTCCATCCATCCA